GATTCTCAGGTTTCCTTCTCACATGTGCTTACCGGGCACCTCTGGCAGCCCAGAGTTAAATGCTTTTTCTAGGTGTTTACTACACAACTGGGCAATTTCCAAGGGGCCCAAATCACACAAGCGTGCTTTTCTTGCCACTAAACACTTGATTCCTATTTCAAACAAAAGAAACCCAATAACACTCTTAATAGTTGACTCAGATAAAAATCAGGATTTTTTTTTTGCCACACTGATCTGTTACCTAATATGGCAAGAAATGGACTGTTGAGCATGCTAAGGATTCCAGGTCTTGGCATCAACCCAAAGACAGCCCGAGCATTCCAAAGCAAATAAGCTATAGATTTGCAAGCATGGTTTTCATGAAGTTACCTTCATGACTGACACGTGGAAACAGCCCATCCTCTCCAGCCCCAGAACCACAGGGATGGACTTCAGAGCTCCCCTTTATCTGCCTGACATTCTCCCGCCGAAGGGCTCGACCGCGGCGTGGCTGAGCTCCACACAGTCCTGTCCTTGCTGAGACCGACCGCTGACAACTGTCTGTTAACCACTCTGCCAGGCACACGCATTCCACGATGTGCGTGCTGTCGTTTGTGGCGTCCTATGTAACTGGTTTTGTTCCAGCGTTAGCCTGGGTCCCCCTGGGTGACAGGGTGGGCACGTGCTGGGGTCCTCCTATTCTACAGCTGGAGGTACTGCCTGGTGACCCTGAAAATCTCCCACTGACCCTGGTGGAGGGCCTGCCACGTGGAAACTTGCAAGCCAGGTCCCACGGCAGCCATGCCTTTCCCGTGCCTGGTCAGCCTGTGCCCACAGCAAGGAGGGCAGCAAACCCTCAGAGGCGGCTCCTGCAGCTGCTCTCCCCCAAGGCCTGGCCCCCGGCAGAGAGCTGTGCACACACAAGCTGGGCAGCAGACTTTACTGGGGCCAACCCACCACTCCATGCCCGTGCCAAGCCCCCAACCACGGTGTGCTAAATCCTTTAGTTCAAGGCTTCTCAGCTTCACCGAGCACACAAATCCCTCAGGGGAGCAGCATCAGAATCACTGGGCAGCCTTACAGAGTGACAGCACCCACCCCTCTCCAAATCCCAGGCAGGTGTATCTGTCCTGTCTCCCCTGTGATCGACGCTAATGTGCAGCCAGGGTTGCTGGCCACTCAAGTGGTGAAACACGTGCTAGAAACATGGACGAGGGTTCAGCACAGTTATTAACAGTCCGCTGTCAGGGCTGAATGAGAAAAACCAAAGCAGAACGCACCAGACAGAGTCCCTCAGGGGCGCTCTCTCCTGGGCCAGCAGAGACGCTTGAAGTGGACGCACCATCACGACCTCTCACAGCAACAGGGCGATGACAGGTCAATCAGTGAGCAGTGCTGGCCGAGCTGGCTCCCTGGTGGCCCATCTCGTGAACGGCTATCTGTGCCCAGACCACGGCCCGGCCAAACCCTGTGAGTCGAGGCCGAAAGCATCTCTGGAGGACAAGGGGAGCCTGACTACTAATGATGGGGGCTTGTGAGTCACACAAGGGGCGTTCCAGCCAAAGTCCTCGGGGGCTGCTGACCTGGCCATGGCTCTACCCAAGTTATCACAGAGAATCTGGGCTGGAACAGTTAGAGAATGGGATCCATTCAGCCAGCAAGCTGGGAACTCCTGGTGATGATAGGAGCTTGCACGACCTTCCTACGGCCATGCAAACAGGTATTTGCTGAATAGACGAATAAATGATTAAATGAAGCAGTGAGTGGATAAAGAAAGAGGGGGGGGAAGTAGGAAAGAAGCGAATGAATGAATGAATGAATGAATGAATGCATGAACGAACGAACGAAGCCTTGGTGTGTACCCTTTTCCACCACGAGACACGTCCACTTATTGCAAAGTTCTTCCCTACACTGGACCAAAATGCTGACCCCATTCTCTGAAGGGAGGGGGAGTCGAGCAGGAACAGAGCCTCAGACGGGCAACGCAGGGGGAAGGGGCCCCGTACACACAGCTGGAAGAGCCCGGGCCTTCACCTTTTTTACATCTGCATCCCGGCCAGTGTAGACCCCACCATCAGTGATAGGCATCTCCGATTTCTGCTCACTAGGGTCAAGGTTTCCATAGTTCGACAGCCAAAGGGGGACTTGGGAGAGGCCATGAAGACACAGGAGCTCCCTCGGGGCTCCCTCGGGGGGCTGGCCGCGCTGCATGCCCTCGGAAGCCCACCCCTCTGGTGGGTGTAGCTACAGCCAGAGGCTGTAACATCACCTGGAAAGCCCTGGGCCTCTTCTCAGCTTCCCTCCATCCCCACAGTGAGCTGGGCTCAAGTCGCTCCCAGGTCCACAGTGATTTTTCCTGCAGCCTCTCCTCCCACATTTTTATCTGCTCCCTGGCCTCCTCCGTCCCTGACACCAGCTCCATCTCCCACTCACAATCCCGTGCCCAAGGAGCACGTGCCCCTGTGGACCAGAACCCCTACCCTCCCCGCAGGGACCACCTCTCACACAGCTAAGGTTGCTCCCCCAGTCAGCCCGGACAGCCCTGGGGTTTGCCGGCCAGTGTCCCCTCCAGAGGGCCCGTCCTGAGAAAGACTGGGGAAGCACTGTTTCTGTGGTATTGCTGAGCCAGTGGATGCAGGCCCAGAGCTATTAGCACCTTTGCTGCCACAGGGGGACAGTCTGCCCAGAATCAGGCCCGCCCGGGAGCAGGACTCCTGCCGGGTGTGGTGTGCACCCTGAAGGACTAAAAGCAGCATCTCAAACAGGTATCTGCACCCTAGGTTCAGTGTGGCATTCTTCACAGCAGCCCAAGTTCAGCCCCGATGTCACTGACAAAGGACGGATAAGGGCAGTGTGACGTATACATATGTGGGGCATCGCTCACCCTTCAAAAAGCAGGGAAGCCTACCGTTCGCCATGGTGTGGATGAGCTTAGATGCCACGAGGCTCCACGAAATAAGCCAGTCGCAGAAGGACAAACACAACACGCACACGAGGAATCTACAGCAGCCAAACTCCCGGAAGCAGAGAGCAGAGCAGGGGGTGTCCGGGCTGAGGGAGGGGACGTGGGGAGCGGCTGCTCAGTGTAAGGACTCGGTCATGTAGGACGAAGGCGTGTGGAAGTCCACTGCACAGCTCTGAGCCTAAGCTAACGGGACAGTGTGACAGCAGTGGCACGTTAGGATGTGTTAAGAAGCTAGATCTCATGAAAGAAGGATAGAAGAGAGGCGAGGAGGGGAGAGGAAAGGAGAGGAGAAGCAAAAGCCACAACACACAAGGACATTTTCGGAGGTGATGGGTGTGTGTAGTGAGCCACAGCCCCTCTTTCAGGGCCTCAAAAGAAAGCTGCCCAAGGGACAGTGGGGCGGGTCTCAGAGACCCTCATCCCATAACCCAAGGCTGCAAGTCATCCCTGAGGTTTCTCATTCCAAGCTTTATCGCATGTCTTTCTCACACTCTGGCTGGCCACGAAGCCCAGCCCCAGGCTTGTCCTGATGGCCAGCTTTCGCCGAGGCCCATCCCAGAGGCAGCCCTGGGCAGTGAGCTCCTCCAAGCCCCCCTCCTGGTGTACATCCATCCTGGGGGGGATTCACATCACACCTCAGCAGCCCCCAGAGGGGCCCAGTCCTCCCTTCCACCCAAAGGACACTTTGTCCTTCATAAGAGGCGCCGGGCCGGAAGGAGAAGGCGGAGGCCTGCCTGGTAACTGTTCGCCCCGTCTGCTCTAACATCGTGAAAGACACCCCACCCTTCAAACTAGCTCTGGCTGCCACGGCAACCAGCCAGTGTCCACTCCAAGGACATTTCTGTCCAAACGTGGTTCACGCTGCCCCTTTGAACTCTGCCAGACACGTGAACACTTCCCACGGACATAAGTGCCCACCCAGCCCTTGAGTGGGTGAGCTAAGCCCTTGGCCGTCACTTCCCCGGCCATCTGCCCCTGCTGGGTCTCCTGATGGCGTTCTATAAAAGCCACATCCTGTGGTCAACTACAGAATCTGGGGGAAGGCAGCTCTTTCCAGAGAAGTGATTTCAGCAGTGAAGCGACCGCTTCCTGGGCGATCTATTTTCCCCTTGCCCATCCCTGCAGACGCTTGACTTCATCAAGTTCCTTAGGATCTGTATGTCGGTTGCTCTACGTCTCTAGCCCAGAGCACATCTTTCTCAGAGTCTGTGTCAGCGTCGCTGCTTTGCACACATGTAGAAACTCACGGCCAGGAGACGCAGGGCCATTACAGGAGACACAGAGACGAGATGACACACGCCCTGTCCTCACCCCTCAACTCTCTCTCCTCTTCCTCCCTTTTATACCAACACCGAGAACATGGCTGTCATCGTCCAGAAACAGCTGTACTTCTGCCACATTCGACAACATCTGATTCAGGTGCATCATAAGGACGATGGGGTGGATTGTGTCTCCCCAAATTCACAGGCTGAACCCCTAATCCCCGGGACCTCAGGCTGGGGCCTTTGAGGAGGCGCCTAAGGAGAAAGCTGAGTTCCCATTTTTATCAGGTTCCTATTTTTGTTTTTCTCTGTCACTTACACATTTTTGAGTGCTGTGCCTCTAACCCTCTTTTCCCTGAGGTTTCTACTTGCCGGTTTTGTACACTGCGGTTTTTATAACTAACACGTATGCATGTTATAGCAGAGCTGACTGCCTTTGAATGTTTCTGCAGGGAACATCACCTCCGGTCCTAAGGCCTGGGTAAGAAAAGCCTGTGATCAGACTCACAAGAACTCATACACTGGACCTCGGATGGAGCGTGTGATTCTGGCTAATGTAGCAACACCACCTCCTAGTGTTGCTGTCTCTAATTGCAGGTAAAACAGAGAATAAAAGGACTGTATTCAAAGTGGATTTATCGTAGTAGGATAAATGACGCCGTTACCCAGGCCATGCTGAACGAACCCTCTCCTCACCTGGGAGCCGCTTCTTCTGACCTGCAGCTTCCTGATCTGCTTCCTAGAAAAGATTTTTCTCAAGGGTCACCTACCCCCCCAGAGGGGGCCACACCGACCTGTCATGGAGTTTTCAGAGGTGCAGAGCTGCTCTCTCAGCTTCTCCACGTCGTCAGGGTGCACCTGCTCATACAGCGTACTCCCGAACCATTCCGACTGGGGCTGGTTCAGCACGGGGGTGACGGAGTCAGACACATAGATGACGCGCCCCGTCTCGGCCGCCACGACAAACAGAAACCCATCGGCCGCTTCCAGGATGAGATGCTTCAGCTCCTGGGGAGGAAATATCGTCATGAGGACAAAGACGAACTCCGGCCTACTCAGTTTTCTTATTCTCAACTTTGACCTTTCATTTAGATACTTGTTGTGATACGCACATAGCTTTGGAAAGTTCGATTGCTTTTTTTTAGTTGGAAAATGCACTAAAAAAAAGAAAAAATGCACGGGGCTTGTACTAGCCCCAAGATCCAGATACTTTAAACGCTGTCAGGCCTGTCTTAGCTAGGGGACAGAAGAGCAAGGAGTGAACACCAGAGAAGGGGCCAGTTGTCACCTGCATATTCAAACTGCAGGCATGTCATTGGAACGGAAGAAGAGCCTGGTACAAAGGTTCTCATGGCAGGAAGGGGAGGTAGATGGGAAAGCGAGCGGACGGGAAGAAAAGGGCCACGTGTCTCCCCACCCACTGCTTGCCACGCTGCCAGGGCACCTTATCCTCGCCCTTCCGGTACTTCCTGAGCCGAAGGCTGGCACTGAGCATAAGAGTATCACCTTGCATGTGCATGTCTGTCAGAGTTCCAGAACAAATTTGACAGCTGACATCTCGACAGTCTCTCAGAGCGATCCCAGGAGGTGGTAGGGCATATAGCATCGCCCGTGTCACTTTACAGCGAGAAGAGAGGCGGGTGCACCAGCCCTGGGGCCACACTGACTCACCGGGCTCGGGACTGGCAAGGACAAAGGAAGGAAGCTGCTTGGGGTCAGTGAACGGGCAGCAGGAAGCCTTGGCAGAGCCCCAGAGGGATGTGGATGGGACAAGATCAACTTGTTACCATGAGCTGTCCTCTCTCTGCAGTGCCTGAGGGCAGCTCAAATGGAGCTGCCGACCCATCATTCTCACAGCCAGTCAAGGAGTCCCCCCTGCTCAGTGACACGGGCTCCGTTCCTGCCTGAGCCGAAGAGCTCTCTCCCATGTGCAGGGAGTCAGCTGTGCCTCCTACCACCTCACACCCAGCTCAGGCCCCAGAGAAGACAGGCGTCCTCCCAGGTGAGACCTTGGAACCCTTCGTTCCAAAACACCGCACATGGAAGGCCAGCTGCCTGGGGGCCTACGGTGGGCTGGTCTCCACCCCCGAGGGCGCTCCCAGGACCCACTGGGTAGAAGCCGGGGCCTGCTGGTGAGCGGCGCCTGGGGGCTTCAGGAGCGTCTCTGAGGCCATGGCTGGGTCAGAATTCTAACACCCTCAGCCTGGGAAAGAAGGGCGGAAGCGGACTGTGTTTAAGGGAAGTTTATTTAGTTTGTTTGTCTTGCTTCGCGCTTCTGCTTTCTGGGTGTCCTAGATGCTTCCTTAGATGAGGCTTGGGTCAGCGTTTTTATTTTCAGTATTAGGACTATGCAAGCTGGAGCAGGGTGCCTGGGAAAGGAGGTGATTCTGTCACCGGAGCAGAGGAAGTGGAGGCTGATGACCTCATTCACGCTTCCACAGCTCTGCCCAGCCTGTGAGGGCTATGGAAAGGCCCGAGGGGGCCTCTGCATCTCCTCCCCTCCTCCCCAGATTCTGTCCTCCGGGGGCATGTCACTCATTACCAAGGTCCTGTGCCCTGAAGCCAGGACCAGCCTCCAGTTCACAGTGGGGCCTCAGGGCCCGGGTTCTGGGGTAAAAGTGCTCTCCACATTTTGTACCGTTGAACCCGTGACTTAACCCCCTCAGCTTCCGTTCTGTATTTTTTTTTTCCACACGGATTTTTTTCAGTGAGATTTTTGTGGGGTTCAATGAGATCTTGTGTGTGAAGGAATTAGCGAGGGCTTGGCACACAGTAGGCGCTCAACCAACGTAGCCACTGTATCGTCAACACGCGCCACGTAACCGAGAGAGAGAAATGGGTAGGACGCTAACGTGCACAGCCACCTTCTCATCACTGTTTCTCAGTCCTTGTTCGCTTAAAGGTAAAGAGGTTAATTTCAAATATTGATCCAACAGGATTTTTCTAAGAACTGAACACATGGAGAGAAAAAAGGTTTTTACAGATCCGAGCACTTAGTAGGTGCTTAACGTACCTCTGCCTGGTTACCTCTCAGCTACTGACCCCATATCAGTCGCCTCTCACCACAGCCACATGTCGGGGGAGCTATCACCACATCCATTTTGACGTGGGAGCCACCACACTCCATGTCCTCCCGGGGACGGCCACCCCACAGCCACATGGACCTGACACTTGTGACATCAAGCACCACATGGCCAAACCCTTCTGCCTCTCCACACGCCTTTTAGCTCCTGCTCTGAGGCTCTGCGCTCACCGTCCTCCTCATGTGGAATCCCTCGGGCTCCCCTCTTTCTAGACACATTCTGGGGCTCCTTCACAGCCGCCAATGCTGCCTCTCTCCCCGGAAGCCCCCCGAAGACACCTCTGCGCTCTCTCATTTTGGCCACAGTCCCGGTGCCTCCTACAGCTACACACTGTCACACTTCCCCGCCCAACACCTCACACAAAGTGCTTTCAAATCCATCAGCTCCGTCCTCCTGCAAAAGCCTTCATCTCAGACACGAGCAAGCTGAAGCTTAGCGTGTTTGCCCACGTGCCCCACGACCAGCACGCGAACCAGGACTCAGAACACAGCTACTCTGTAAAACCCTGGCCCACTGACCATTCTGTGGGTCTGCACTTCCCAACTATTCAAAGGCTAGGAGGGCGGTGAACATCGGCTTTGGGGTCCCACCAGCCAGTACCAACTCCTGGCTTCACCACCGAGCGCTGAGCAACTCTGGACAAACTGCCTCAACCTCCTTTATAAAACAGGGATGAGTGACAGCGGTGGCATCCTCGGGCCTGAATCAGGGGTAAATGAAAAAACACCCAGAGAGGTATGGCTCCGATCAGGCATGGAGAAAAGTGCCAGCTGTCACGTCCTTGTCACTATTACTACGACTGCTACCAAAACGTTCATTGTGAGGATGGCCACCACTATCCCAGCTCATGGGAACTGTGCGATTGTCACGGGCTTGTCCCCACGTCAGCACAGCGAGCGCACTGTTCAGACACTGACCATATTTTCTGAGGGACGCCTCACTAAGGTCCACGGCAAACGCGAAAGCAGAAGACGCAAAGGTCGGACAAATGCCCTGAAAACTGAGTTTCCCGGTGAAGTGTGGTGACAGAATGTCTCGACGTTGTCCCTTCCTCAGCCCCGAACCCCGCAGCTTCCCCAACGTGGCTTCTCTCCCCCCGGGGGCGCCTGGTGGGGCGCCGGGGGAGGGACAGTACCTGCTCGGTAAGGAAGGAGGGTTTGTAGGCCCCGTCCGTAGATTTGTTCCCCGTGCCCCGCATGGACTTCATGTGGGACACCGCCATGCGCAGGATGGTGAGCTTGTCCGGCTTCCGTGCCAGCGCACTGCATGTGGGCACCATGTCCGATAGCTCGGTGATGTACTGTGTCATCTTATTCCGCCTGCGCCTTTCAATCTCACTGTGGTTCTCTCTTCCCGAAAGCACGAGAGCAGGAGGGGGGAGAAGAGAAGCATCAGACAGGGGTCACCGGCCAACAGGGTGAAACGGCACGCTGGGGACACACAGTGACTGAGAAACAGGGACCAGCGCGTCACAGCCGCACCCTGAAGACACCGGGCAGAGCGGCTCTGACACCTGAGCGAGCATCTGTCTGTGTGGGGACAGCACGTGCCTCTGTCCTGCGTCTCACTATTCCCGGGCACCTAAGGGCTTTGTAATAAGCATAAGGGACTCAGACATTCTCCCTCCGCTGGCAGGGGACAGCCTGACGCAGACTGTGCCACCCTCCCCTGGACAGCAGCCGCAGCCACCGGCAAAGTTCGGGGGGCAACCTCAGGCGCCACTCTGAGCAGCTCCCACACAGCACCGGCTGATGGGTCCAGCAGCTACGCCACTGTGATGGGCTCAGGTGGCCCCGGGCTCCCACACACTCAACTCTGGGAGTCCCAGCACCTGCTGGGAGCACGTTCCATCTTTCTCTCTTATTTTTCCTGTTTGGGGAAAAGGATATGGCCCATAGAAGCTGAGGTCTGAACTCTATGTGAAAACTGGTTCACTGATGGGCTTGTGAGGTAGTGGCGCTGAGTCTAGCATTTCTGTTTCTTAATGATGGGACCTAATCCAATGCGCTCTTTACAACCCTGCACTATTTCTTTTCTTTATTTTTATTTATTTTTTTAAGATCTTACTGGGGAATTGGGGAAGGGAAAAAGACAAGTTGATATCTTTTTGTCCTTCAGTCTAGTTGTGGAGGATGTCACTTCACTGGCTCATGTTGGTGTTATCATTGCGCTCTTCCCAGGTGAGGCAGTCACTCGCAGGCCATTGGACGGCCGCTCACGGTGGCTCTTGGCAGCTCATGAAAGTGCATGCCCACTGCCAGCCAGCCCCACTGCAGCCTACGGCAGCCCAGCTCCAGGTCGAGCTGTCGTTCACCATCTTAGCTGTAGAGGGCGCAGCGTCACTGGCCCTAATGTGGGATCCGAACCAGGGCCCTGCTGCTCAGAGCTGGCGTCCCAAGCCAACTCCTACCCAACGTGCCACTCGGCCGGCTCCCTGCACTGTTGCTTCATCACTGACAGTGACCTCTAGGGCCCAACAAACGCCACTCTGCGAGTGTCTTCCTCTTTCTGTCCTGAGACCCCAGGAATCATCATTTCCTGAGTCAACATGGAGCGGAATGTTACCTGAGGGGGAATTTTGACCCAGAGAAATAAAAAATCTGTTTCCTCATCCAGGAAGGCTGTCTATGATGGGAACGAATGGGACGCGGAGACACGCGCCCTTACTTCCGAGATTAGCTCCATTTCAGGAACAAAGCGTCCCCTCCTATTACAACCTATCCAAATGGATGGACGTCCAAGCTGAGGTCTGTCTGCACCAAGGGAAAGACAATACACACTTCTGGTTGGATTAAAAGCTCTAGTGTTCTTAGAGGTCAATGTCCCCCATCTCCTCTCAACTCCCTCACCAAACGTTCTCATCTCAGGGAGGAAAGCGTGTCCAGTGACATCGGCTGGACTCGGGGACCCCGGGCAGCCCTGGAAATGTAGCGAAATGCATGTTCCTCTTGGATTCAACCCCATCACGGGTATGAGGAACCACGGCCAAAAGGAACCGCTATGGGGAGGTCAGCAGTCCCAGGGCTCAACACGGACATAGTTCTTCTAAAAACGTTTGGAATGTTTGTCAATCCAGATCGTGGCTGTGGACGCCGGACAAAGGTACCCATCCCCTGGGACAGGTTTTCAAGTTCATCCACAAACAAGAATTAGGGCCATGTGGATGGTAGGGAGGAATGTCAAGGCAGGCCCTTTCCATAAATAAATTGAGTGCAGATGGGGATTTCGCCAAGACTGATGGAACGGTTTGTGCTTTTCTCTCAACATTGCCAAACTTCTTACTATAACTGAAACAAAACCAAAAAAATAAAGAAGAAGAGGAAGAAGGAGAAACAGGCATGGGGCCGGGCACGCCTGGTCCTTCGCGGATGGAACACACAGACCGCCACCGGCACCCGTGGTCCTGTGTCCTCTCTGGGAGGTGGTCGTGCCCGGGAGAGCCACGCGGCCAGCCTACAGGCGCTGCCACGTGGCCAGCGAGTGTGCCAGGGCCTAGGGACTCCCAGTCCAACTTCACATCCTGCCTCCCACAGGGCCATCAGGTTTCTTATATTTCTCCTCAGTTTCTGTGGTAGAAAAGGAGGCCTTCTCTTGACTGTTTTTCTAAACATGAACTCTAGGTCTGTCTTTTAAAAAGGAATCCATTAAAATGGGCAGCGGCTGTTTAATTGAAGAAGCCAACAGAGTCAGTACCTTGTGATGTAACTTTCGATAACCTAGGCTGGGATGTGGCAGGGCTGCTACTGAGCTGCCTACCTGTCACCGGGCCTGATACGGGCACAGAATGAGGGACAAACGAGGGGCCCAAGCCACAGGCAGGGGCTCTGTCAGGGACAAAAGACACTGACATCTGTGCAGATCCCGACAAGGTGACGGCTGGCTGCTGGCTTCTTTAAATCGAAGGAATGCCAAGGAAACTCACCTGGAAAATTTGCTGGGACCCTCACCGTCTTCATCGTCAAAGTCCATTCTGGAAAGTCAAGATCACAAATGAGCATCATCACAGGTGGGACATTTAACTGGTGACATGAGCTGCTGGCAGAGGGGCTTTTATTCGGTTCAATGGCTGTCCTACCGTCCCAGCCCTTGGCAGAGCAGAAAAAACATGTCAACACAATCATCAAACCGGTTCGGGACAAGGAAAGGCAGAATGGAAGGTCTTCAGTGGGAGCGGCGGGGATTACATGCTTGGGAACCCGATACAGGCCGCCCTGGGCCGCTCAGGCTGAGCTGGGAGGGTCCCCGTCCCCCGTCCCTCACCACCCAGGGGACAGCTCCTCCCCTTCACACCACTCGTTCCGCACTGAGACTTCCCTTTTTCCTTTCTTCTGTGGCACATTAACAGAGTAAGAAAGCTCAAGAGGTTTTGAAAACAGGAAGTTTTAAGGGTAATAAAGGGATTCTGAGGTAAAGAAGACATCCTACTGGTTTGCTACGTGAGAACTTGGCTGGTCTCCGCGAGTAAAAGTGAAAGGGACATTTAAGGTCATTATCCCGTGAAGTTCAGGCCCAAGTGATAGATGCGGAGGGAGGAAGGCTCGTTCGGGGCCCAAGCTGCTTCATGCGGCCGTGTGCTGGTTGAGACTCCCTACATAAATACTCAGGCTCACGCTTTACTGGGCCTCTCAGTATAAACACAAAACAGAAAGCCTTGATAGATATTTGCTTAAATACCATCCCAAGCTCTCTTCCTCAAGAAACCAGTCCTCTCGAATGACAGGTCAGTTGCCACTGAAGATGCCAGCACAGAGGGGTCCTTAGTACAAAATTCATCCGGCGTCTCCGGGAACAAAGTGAGAAGTATGTTCAGACATCCTGGCTCTCGGGGACATTCAAGGAAGTGGGGTCCTTGGGGAAGAAGGTCTCAGGCCCACTGTACTCCCTTCTTGTTCCTAGTGGGACCGAGGGACTGAGTGAGGCATGGTCCCCATGGACCCCAAGCAGAAGGGAGGCCAGCCGCCTGGCAGCCGGGACCCAGAAGCTCTGTGTCAGAGCAGCTCGACACAAAAACGGAGGGTGTGTGTGACAGACCACAGCTACCCACTGATGCCAGAGCTGCTGGCCTCACAAGCACGTCACCCCACCCCACCCTGTTGTCAGGGTGGGGGCTCCCGTGGGTAATGGGTGACTTGGGGAGGCACAGGACACCCTGGCCACCAGGAAGCAACCAGGCTGCCCAGGCACATCCCTCATGAGATGAATCGTATCCTCTTGGCTCTGGGGTGGTGTGGAGACACAGGGGCAGGGACTAGAGGGCAGAGGACAAGCCTTCCTTATAGTGCTGTCACGTGTTTGCTTTCGGCTGGTTCTCTGTGCCCTGTGGCCAGAGCTCTCATCTGGGCTTCAGCCTGTTTGGGACGATGACCTGATGGCACCCCTGATTTCCAGACATGAGGGCTGTGCTGGCCGCTGGGGATAAGGGAGCAAAAGGAAGTAGACACCTGGGAGATGACAGTCATGATAACTATGCACAGACAGAAGGGGAGGCCGGGGTTAGAAAGCGGCGAGAATGGCAAAGCAGAGTTAGGAGCATATCCACACCACCGGGAGAGACCACGTGCATGCACCCCGGCAAAGCAGTGGGGCCACCCCAGGCACCAGCCAGCGGCTGTGAAGAAATGGGGGCCGGATGCATGTCTACATAAAGCAAAGCCATCAAGGTCCTGCATAATTACTAAGCCATCACCTCACCTTTCCCGAAAATTACATCTGGGAGACGCTTCCAAAAACACTGCCCTTAGACCGGCTGCCTGAGCCGCACAGACGCAGAACCACAGCGCCCCCTAGTGTTCACCGCGGGGACAAGCATGAAGGTTGCCTAATGCCCCTGGGCTGTCAAAAACATTTCAGGGTTAAGAAAAAGCAATCGCATTATCAAAATTCCAGCGGATTTGGGCAAGCATTCAGGAAAACTGCAGGTGGGTGTGTGAGATGTACAGTTACCTTTAAAATGCCTTTTAGCTCAAGTTGATATGCGTGTGTGGTCATCGGGCTCCTGCAAGATGCCCTTAGCCAGCCCGCCCAGCCTGCACGGCCACTTGGGTATTTGGGGTGTCCAGCCACCCTGTTTCCCGGGACTGAGAGGGTTCCCGGGGTACAAACTGGGAAAGTTCTGGACCAAGTTGGTCACCCTGGTTTTCATGGAGACAGCTCTGTTCTTTGCCCCGACCTCCCTCCCACCCCACCGGGTGAAGCAGACCAGTGGGGAAGTGAGCCACATGGTAAGTGATCCAGCTTGGGGCTCCGTCCAGGAGAGGGTATAACGAGGGGACGGCCCTGCTCTAGGGCCAGACTTTTCTGAAGGCCTCCGGGAACTTGGGAACCAGGATGTGTCTTCAGAAAATAAGGGACCAGGAAACTGTGCCTCCCCACTTGTACTTGTGTGATCCAGGTGGGCAGCAGTCAGATTTAGTAATTCTGGAAAAGCGTAAGGTGGGGGGGGGGGAATCCAGGAGAGAAATCAGGACACAAACAACCTAAGGATAAACCACCAGATCCCAAAAGTCTCATTGCTCATCAGCAACACAGAAAAAAAAAATGGGAGCGCTGGATACAGCAGCTTTGAGAGGAGCACGGGCCAGATGCCGCCTTGGGGTCTGCGTGTGCCACCAATGTCACTTCTGTGCTTTTGTGACTACAGTAGCCAGGCTGATGTCTTCTGCTATGAAAACGCTAAGTAAACCATCCATCGTTTTACGTCTTTTATGCGTTTCGATTACACGCACACATCTGGACAGTAAAGCAGAGACACTAAAATACGACTTCTAAGGGCTGTCGTGTTCACGTCGTTACAGAGTTCGGTACAAGGCGTGGATGATTTGAGTCTTCCAAGGTGGGCTGGAAAAGCCTGTTACCCCTCTTTCCTGCCCAACAATTCTCGCCCCAACAAAAAGCCACGAAAGGCATCTGTTTCTGAGCCTGCGCTGCATCAAGAGTGAGATGTGAAGCTCCGTAACTGACTGTGTAATAATAATAATGCTTCATCGAATATGAGCCACAAACAACCCACTGATGCTCTTCCCGGGCCAGCCAGAGCTTCTGCTAACAAGCAAGAGAAGCAACATGGGTGCCAGCAGCACTTGCTCTTCCTGCACAGCCTGGACCAGCCGCAGATAACAGCCACGCCGGTGCATACGGGCTAACCGGTGCGGTGCCTGCTTATGTACACTCGCCTGTGATTTGGCGGAGGAGACGCTGGCCTAACGGGCTGCAGACAATTTGGAAATAGTTTTCATCAGTTATGACAGCTTAGAAGCCCAGTACTGGATTCTGAGGCAGTGGGGAGGGACTAGTATGTTCCCTGCCCGCAACCTCCGCCCTCCATCCCTATAGGGCTGGTTTGGGGGCGGGGGTACAGCCCACTTCATCGCTGCTGCCCCCCCCCAGAACTTCAGAGTGTGCCCCTGGGAAGGCCCCCACGCTTTGCCCCCCCCCCCATCGCCGACATCAGGGAGGTCTCTACAAGAACCCAGCTCAGGTGACCTGCTTCAGCCCACATCTCCCACATGTGGAATCACTTTTCAAAGAATCCGAAACTTCTGAACCTTCACCTTGTGTCCTGGCTGCTGGCAGTGCACACAGCTTGCGGAGCGGCTCGCTGGGGCAGGCTGTGAGGGAGGGGGAGCCAGGCATGCACCCGGAGAAGCCAAACCCACAAGGGGTCAGCGCCACTTGGCTCGGGAGCAAGGAGCCGGGTTGGGTGGTTATCCTGGGAATTTGGGACAACACTTCCCTCCACCAGGAAAGCAGGTCAGAGTGTGAGGAACAAGCAAGCAGCAGGAAGAAGGTCCTTGCCTCTTGCCCCTCCCATCCCATCACCCACCCCTTTCTCCCCTCTCCCCACTCCCTGAGTCTCTCCAGCTGTGCCCCACCTTCTCAGAGAGAAGGAAGTGGCAACAGGGACGGTGCAGATGCGAGGCCCTGCCATGGGGTCGCTGGCTTTCCGACCTCTGTCAGGGTCTCCTCTGGACTTAGCTAAGTGTGCAGGCTGTGGTCAGAGCAGTGTATCAAGAGGTTCTAGAACCGCAGTGGCCTCAACCACAGAATTCCAGCAAATCCTGTAAAAATGTCAGCTGCAAGAATTACTACGGAAACAGCCCTGTAAAAATGGAGGTTTTCCGTGCTTACACGCAGAGGATATGTCCCAGTGTCACCAGGGCTCAGGGCATGTGGCTCCCTCCTGGGACAGGTAAAAGGAAGTGGGCACAGGGGCCCCCAGAATATAGGTGACAGAAGACAAGCCTCCTGGGGGTCAGGCGCATGGATCTGTCTAAAGGGCCCACGCCCTCATCCTCACGGGCGGACAATGTGGCCACAGTGTCACGCCGTGTGTGTGATCAGAAGGGAAAGGGACGGCCTGGAGGACTTTTCCGAAAAGAGACAGCCCGCTGTCCACTCATCAGCTGGAAGAAGCAGAAGTCAGAGGGTCAGGAGCTCGGAGCGGCCTCAGCCCTGCAACTGCACCCGGAGCTGGGCACAGACCCGCACACGCCTGCGGGAGGGGCTCCAATCGGTCGGGGACTGAGCATCTCTGCCTGTCTTTGGCCCCCACCCAGCCCACCTCCCTCGTCAAAGAGCCCCATGCTGGCCTCTTCTTCGAAAGGAACTGGGCATGCCGTGGGACTCGGTCCCCAGGGGATGGAAGTTGGAGAACACCAACCTTTAAACCAATGTTAAAAGGCCTGGAATCTTTGAAAACCAAACAAAACTGTAAGTTGACAGCATGGCACGCCTTACTGACCCAGACCCCACTGGGCAAGGCACCTAGGTAGCAGGTGGGTGGTGAAACGGATGGCTTCCTTGCCACGCAGCTGATCTGGGGAGTGGCCCCGGCACCCACACGGCTCATCAGAGCTCTGCTGGTCCCCCTGTGGAGACCGTGGCAGCTGGGGACTGAGAACTGGCTGCCTCGCACCCTGGAGGGAGCCTGCAGAGTCAGAGAAAGCTGCTGTTACCCTGAGCACACTTACTCAGCCTCGTCGGTCCTCCCAAGAATCATGAAAACCTTAGTCCCTCCCTCACAGAGCACACCCCACCCACACACACCAGTCCTTTTACACCTAAACTTACAGAGCTGAATATGGGTTTCCATCCCACCTCACTCAGTTCCACGTCCTCACGTGTAGTCCCCCCCCAACCCTGCCACCCCGGCCACCTTGCAGGCCTCCACCCCTGAGAAGCTGTCACTGGACGTTGCACTCCCGGGGACCCTGTGTTATCCGAAATTGCATTAATAGGACACACTGATTCGACTTCAAGAGAAACTTTGTTTATCACTCAATACTTATTTGGTTGGAAATAAAATTGAGTCCATGAGGGCAAGGACTTGGGCCATTGACAGCATCTGCAAATGTCAGCTCTGTTTTTCCTGCAGGGGTTTTTGTTGGCTGGCGTGTTTTTGAGATCAAAACACAGCTACAGACATGATGCATCATAGTACATGCGGTTTTGGGTTCCATCAGCTCGAGCGGGAAGGTCCTGGTCCCACCCAAGCTCATCACTTACCGACGTGACTGGCACGCAGCACACAGGGCGAGTTGCCCAGCCTGTAGGTGCCAGTGTACGGAAAGGAATCGCTGCCCACCACCGAGCAGAGGTCGGCAGCCGAGGAAACAACAGCACGAGCCCTGCCCACAAGGCCCCAGGGCTGACCTGAGGCTGCTGAGCTCAGGGGGCGGGTGGGTGAGCCCCTCCCTCAGAGAGATGGCCCAGCGGGGTCACAGAGCTCACTCCTCCCACAAGGACAAGCAAACAGGGGTCCCCAGCTGGGGGCAGAGGCCCAAAACACTCGGAGGCAAATCCCATGCAGAGTTAGGGATCTTGCAAAATCTAAGCAGGATGCAAACTGCTGTGCTCTTATGCCCCAGGACAGGGAGAGACAATATTTTCCTAACAGGTCAGGAACGTTGCTCAACACGTATTAAGCCCAATTCCCGGAAATGAGGAGCTTGCTTACCCAGAACGCCGCTTTCCTCCACGGGCGGGCATGGCCCCCGGCACCCTCACCTGTCCAGCAGCCGCCATGGGGGCGACGGGCAGCGTCACCGACCCAGGGATGTCCGAAGCCATTTCTGGAATTCAGCAAAGACGAGAGGTATGGTCAATGCCAGAAAAGTCCCAAAGAACAAGCAAGAAAGTGGCCCAGTGGCACCAAAGCGCCACCTGGGCGGACAGTCCGAGGGTCCGGGTGCTGGGACTGCTCTGCCCATCATCACCGACTTGACCCAGGTGAGCCCATCCCCTGTCTGGGCTCTGCCTCTCTCCAATGGACAAGGCATCCCAGGCAGCACGCCCGTATTTCATAACCACAGTTCAGGTGGTTAAAAAGAGCATGGCTTAGCAGCTTTCATAGGAACTCCTGTCTCCTGCTCACCTGGAGACAGGTAAGACGTCCAGGGATCCAGGTACATTAAAGAACTGGTGCTGGTACCAACTGCTGGTAACCCACATGGGCAAACCCACCGAGAGTCAGGGCCAGCCGTCCCACAGCAGCGTCCTCAGAGGCTTGGCCCTCACCTGGGCACTTGTGCTCAAGCACAAAAGCTGTTCGCCTCCCTGAATCTGGACCCAGAGCCTGAATACAGAACCCTGTGTGGCCTCTGTGTTCAGGATGAGGACAGTGGGGCCCAGGGGCCTCAAACACATCACCTGAGGCTGCACAGAGAGCCGGTGGCAGCCAGGACTTTCCAGGAATAAATACTAATTTAAAGAATAAGAGGGCCGGCCGAGTGGCTCAGTTGGTTAAGAAGTCGCTCAAGAGTGTGAGCTCTGAGCAACAGTGGTTCGAGTTCTGGCCTGAGCTGAGCTGCCAACAGGTGGCACGATGGCTCAGCTAAAAAAGAAAAGAATGAAAAGGTTGGGTATTAGATGAGAGCACCTTTCCTGTGCATCATTACCTTGAAGATTATTTCTTATAAGCGAGGCACTTTTGGGAGCTCATTCAGGCAATGTTCACCATCCCTAAATTCGAAGCAACCACCTCCCACTTTGTGGACGGTCCCTGAACTTGGCACCTGTCCTCAGACCCCTGAAAGGCAAAATCGATCCGCGAATGGCCTCTCTGGCTCTGTTCACTGTCCTTGGCAATGACCTCCATGGTGCTGGCCTTTCTTAGTCCACCTCTCACTCAGGGTGGAGGCAAGCAACATCTACAAAAATACATTCGAAAGGCAGTTTGGGATAAGCACGGGAATCGGGGCCCTTGTGGGGGGACAACGGGTGCCCAGGATGTTGGCGGCGCTCAGACGGCTTTTTGCCTCCTTCCAGAAAGCAGGGAGGCATCTGACAGCCGACCCACCATTATGCCCAAAGACAGCATGTTGAATAAACACATTCCAAGGTCAACTTGAACTATTCCACTCAAAACTTCTGAAGAATTTCACAACACTAATAAACACAATCTTAATTTAGCTACTCCATGATGTTCACAAAAACTTGAAGACTATTACAGTTGTTGTGTTTTATTTTTAACTAATGTACACATTGAAAAGGACTCAAGATAAAAAAATTTTAAAAAGCCGTTTCTTCAAGTAATCCTCTCCCCGTTAGGCTGTACTGGATTTGTGACAGACAGTTTTAACAGCGGTTTCCTTATAACCTTATCATCTGCCTGCTTCCAATACGAAATCTGGATATTTTTTTTTTTTTCCTGAAACGGAGGCTAATGAGTGTTAGGTCAAGTCCCCTAAACTGAAGGGCAGATCGCTGCTGGTGCAAATGTGGGTGCAAACAGAAGTCTCCACTTCCTAAAATAAGTCGCACAGAACATCAGGCCCTTAAGATTCTACAGGAGAAGGGAGCCATGGTCAAGTTATCTCCCTTCCCGGAGACGCCAGTGTCCGCTAAAACCGTGCAGAGAAGTCCTATGAGGAAGTTCCTTTACCGCTGATGAACCAGCACGCATAAAGCTCATCATCGGCCCAGCTAACGTTCCACACGACATTCGCTCGTTTTATGCAAAGCTGGAGAGGCCCACTCTTTCCCTGCCCCAATTACCCACCAGCACAGAGAGGGGATGGCAAACGGAAGGCAACTGCGGTTAGTGAAAAACGACCTTGGTCCCGTTTTCCTTGGGGAAAACAAAAAGTATCAATTGTTTCTTGGAACACAAGTTACAGGACGTAAAGCTCCACAGAAACCGTGGCTGTGGGGCTAGGGCCGAGGACCCTGACGTCCCATCCGTCCTCTCACAGGTGAGGGAAGGAGGAAAGAGACGACGTGACAGGCACAGGTGCCCACGTGGGCCAGGCCCTGCCTGCTGTCATGTCAGCATCTGTACGAGAAAAAGCTTGCCATGTGGGGCAAGGTCACCTGCTCCCCTTCGGGCTCACCTTGAGGTGTCCTCACTGCCCATTCTCCCTTCCACCCTCTGTCATCAGACCTCTGTCCTGCCACCCCACCAGCGAGCTGCCACCACCACAGGGGTCACCTCTTATGAAGGCAAATTGTCAGTTCTCTGCCCCCACCTTGTCCGTGGGTTCAGCCCCCACTTCCCCACCTGAAGCATCGCTCCTGGTTTCCAGGGACAACGTCCCCTCTCTCCCGCCTCACAGGCCCAGCGGGGATCCCTCCTCACCAGCCCTCAGGGCGTGCTCGTCAGCTTGCTCCCCTCCATCTATTCTCTGTGCCGGGGACCTCGTGCAGGCACTTGTCACCAATGCCATTTCTTTGCTGATTCCCACGCCCAGGCGCCCAGGCCTGCTGTCACCTCCAGGAGGTCTCTCCATTCACAGGCTTCTGCTGCTGCTCTTCCTCAGGGCCTCCCTGGAGGCCAGATCTGACCAGTCAGGCCGTGCTGATGTCCTCTGCTGGCTGCTCTTTGCTCTCAGCACAAAGGGTGGAGTTCCCTGCCAGCTCGGATATGATCAAGCTGCTGCCCACCTCTCCAGCTCCAGCTGCACCACCTTGGACACACCACGCTCCCTCCCACCTCAGGACCTTTGCATATGCTATGTATGCCCTGTCGCAAGAAAGCACCCCTCCCTCTCTTCACCAAGTTAGCTCCTAACAGTCTTTTAGATTCAGCTCAAATACCACTGTCCCAAAGAAACGCGTCCCTGGCCAAGCCCTTCCCCACCCGGTCTAGGGCTGGTCCCTGGTGATCCACCCTTACTGTACCTGTATTTCCGTGAATGAATGAATGAAGGTCACAGCGGCCCAGGTGAAAGACAGGGCCCAAGTGACAGAGCTGCAAAGAGGGCATTCAGGAGGAAAGAGATGATGTCAGTGCCTCAAATACACGATGTGTCACCATCAGACCCAAAAAGGGAAGATTCTAAAAAGCCCTGGTCACCTGATCCTCCTACACTGAGGTTGCGTGGGGCAAAGAAAAGCTGGAGGAGGAAGAAGAATATGGCTGGGTTGGGCGCGGCGTGGCGTCTGCCACACCGTGCACTCCACACCGGGGACTCTGCAGCAAAGAGGCGGGATTTAGACCGTCCTCCCTTCCTTTATCCGGGCGGCCGCAGGCTCAGCGTGGTCTGCTTCCAGTTCTGGCTTCATCATTGTGTGACTCAGTGTCTCCACCTATTCTCCAGGTAAGAAACGAACGAGGCTGATCAGGACCTTCCTGCCTCCTGCAGAGCTGGCTCTATGAAAACGGGGCCCTGCTGCAATGACAAACTGCAGAGGCGAAGCTCTTATTTTGAGCCAGGAGTTGCGCCAGGAGCTGGAAGTCAGAGAGATGGAAGACCTTCTTCCTGCCTCGGACAGGTTCCGTCTGGAGTGTGATGGAGACACGTAGCTGGGTAATTTCGTACTGAGAGCAGAGTGCTGTGTCAGAGACTGGGAATCCCGGGAGGGCTCCCTGGAGGAAGCCAGCCCTGTGGTATTCTGGCAGTGGGTTGCAGAAACGCTTCAGGGAGGGACGCAGCATGGTACTGAAGGTGCCCCTATCCTAAATGTATTCCTTGGATCGCTCCAGAATTTCCGAGCAGACTGCTTCCTGCTACCTTGTTCACGGCTCGTCACTGCCGCTTCCTGGCCTTTTACCCCCAACAGCAGCTCAACACGACCTAGGATCATTCCCCCACGTCAGATGCAACCCTCTTGTGTTGCTCTTTACTCAGGGTCTCCGATCACCACCAATGACAAACAGACAGGCAGAAATCTCTGTCCACAGCCATCGGACCCCAAATGCAAACACCCCCTCAGGAAACACTGTTGCCTGGTAACTGGCAGCTCCACACAAACTTGCCATGAGGTTTCCAGCTCATTTCGGCATCGCTACAAGCTGATGATTTGGTAAAGCTTCACTGTAATTCAGAAAACATATCTGGCTTATGACGCAGCACCTCGCCAGAGACTATTTCGCATGGCAAAGGCAGACATAGGATGCCCAATTCCTATAACACAGCTAAGGCAGCAAAAACCCGGGGAAACCGTGAGCCTGAGGGCATTTACAGATGAAAGGAACGTGAGGAAATGAAAACACATTTTGTCCACCCGCCCCCCACCCGACATTCTTTCACGTGACTCTAAATAAGAAAGACATCCCTTTACCTTCACACTGGAAAAAAAATTAATTACATGCAAATTTTCACAATACCATCACATAATATTTTACTGATTATTCAAATGAAATAACCACTACCCCCTCCTCCCAAAAGGTTCTCTCCATGGGTGGGAGGGGAGTGAGGGAGGCAGCGAACCCGAGAACACTGCCCTCCACATTCATCTCCCTTAGAACAATTCTTTTCACAGAAAGCACATCAAATACCACAGCCCTACCTTTCCAGAGAGACTAAACAAAGATCTTTCTTCCCTGTGACCAGCACCTTCTTGGAAGGGTCTGTAATCCGCGCAGAAGGGATGTCAGGAACCTCTGGGAGGAAATGAGCTGCATTTGTATTCTGCTCAGAAAATGTCATCACAGATCTGTTTACCTTAACCGGGGACCATGATTCAGCCGTGACAACTGTCTTGCATACTGATCAATGGATTTGCAGCAAAATTTCTAACGTTAACTGCTTAGGCTCTGAACCACCAGTGACTTGGGTTTCTGGTGCAGCCACAACACACATCTGAAATATCCAGGTGTGCAGAACATTTCAGGGAGACCTCAGAAACGGTTCCTGCCGGCCTGTGCGGGAGGGAAGGTCCCTTCCCCTCCTGGAACGAAGGCAGGGTGCAGGTTCCCAAAGGTCCTCTGTGGGGTGGGATTTTTGTAGCACAATGTGCAGAGAGCTCATGAGGCAGGCAGCCAGGGCAGTCTGACCCCGGTTCTTGCTGGGCTTGAACCCGCTGTGTATGCTCCATGAGGCATCCCTCATCAAGAGCAGCCTGGGCGGGGGCCTTGGCAGGACAGGACGTGGCAGACGTGGGAGAGATAGCCAGTGGACCCAGGAGAGGAGGGAGAGGCCAGGGCCGGCTTCCGTCCACCATCGGTGCCTCCCGCCTGGACCCCGAGCCCTGGTTGCATGCTTGAGCCACCCCCAGGAGGCCTGGCAGTGGGAACAGAAGCCAGCCCCGAGGCAGCCTGGGGTTATACCCTCCACCTCTGCTAACAATGCCGGCAGGCAGAGCCCTGGCTCCCGGGCTGCAGCAGGCATGCCCTGTGTCCTCGGGGATGTGGGCACCGCACCAGAACCCACGAGGTGTTAGCACCCTATTCCCACTGGGGTCCAAGCCCACGCTGCTGGCTCAGGTCCCTTATTAAAAGGGTAAAAAACAGAGACCCAGCAAGAAGATGGGTAACCCGTCACTGCAGCAGAAGAAAGGGAGGGAGGTTGCTGCTGAGATGACGAAATCTGGAACAAGGCTACAAGCATGACCCTTCTGTGAGAGATGACATGCCGGGGCCCACAGGTCTTACCACAGTCGGACATCCCCCCATGACCTGTCATGCTTGAGTCACCTCCGCCAGCCAGAGACCATCAGAGCCACACAGACGACAGGCCAGGACACCTGGGCTGGGAGGCTCTGGGTCTGTGTGTGGACACGCTGTCCCCAACAGGGTCTCGGAGCCTTGGCTACAACCCAGGCTGTGGCCCGCGAACCCCTGAGTCCTGAGGCTCAGAACCTCAGATGCAGCAGGATGGGCCTCACAGGACAGCGTGGCGGGAGTGGGCTGGTGGTAGGGAGCTTGCAGGGGGCTCAGAGCGCTGATTCTCCATAGTGGAAAATACAACAACAGGCCATGGGGTGGTGAGGAGTCTGAATACTCCAGTGAGGACATCTGCTGATGGTGAGACCAACGTGTCTTCACGAGGGAGGGTCCTTGAGGCAGGAGGGGGGATGCAAGTGTCTCCAAACACGTGAGTGCGCTTCCTGAACGAAAGGCAAGGCCACATCTCGGCTGCAGAGGCTGTGGTGCAGTGATCAAGGAATGAAGGGTGAGGCAAAAAATGACTCAGCTGCGTGTTGACCGTCCAAGTACAGTATGAAGTTGAACAGAAACCAAATGAACGGAATTGACTGACATGAAGAGAAAAGCTAATACATTATGGAAAACCCACAGCGATAAAACTCACTCATCCATTAAATGTCACGTTTTCAAAGAATCATTGTTACAGGAAGAAGCTGAGGGCAAATTACTAGAGGAAGACACGCAACCTTATGTGTGAACTTATCTTTGTCAGGGATCCATCCAAGTTCAGCGTCAGCCGTAACACGTGCCCCGAAGCTACCATCTGGCCTCGTTCTCAGTGACTGTCTTGGTCGTTGAGAGGACAAGCAGTGGAATTCCTATTTCATGGTCGTTTCTGGTGTCCATGAACTTGTGATCAGTGGCCAGCTGGTCACCATCACGCCCACATCTACAGCATTTCCGTGTCAACACCATACACGAGGCCTGTCACATGAACTTATCGCTCAAGTCTGAATATAAGCATGATCTTAGATAAACCAGGATTGACAATTTCCTCGAATGCACGATACATTTCAACTCCCCCATGAGGCGATCCATAAACATAAACGTATTATTGCAGGACAACCCATGGCCATACGGCAAAGGCTATTCAATTTTCCAGAGAAACCAATTATTAAGAACTTCCAACTATCTAAACGTAAAAGAAAATGGGGGGGGGAAATACAAACATTAAGAGAGAATGAATTCTCTGGCTATTTTTAGGAAGAATGATACACCCTTTTCGAACGGAGATGAGTACGGAACCGTTAGTAACACAAAGCAGCATAAAGGAGATTATCAGAGCATGTTGTCATGAGCATCTTTTTGGAGCTGTTTGCTATACAGGCCTTCACTCCCCATCGCCCTCCTGCAGCAAGAAGTATGAGCTAAGAAGGAGACACAGGGTCACCCCCCAGAAACACTCGTCTCTTGCCCCCACATCTGAGCTGCTGGCACGGTCCCCCTTACCTTGAATAGCTAATTTTCCAGTATTTCTTCGCTGGAGTCTCACCTTTGCATCTCTCTTACCCACCTTGTTGATGATCTACCACTAACCCATATTTATCTTAAGAAGAAGCACAGACCTCAAAGTCTACTCCCCAGAGGACAGAAGGAGCTAGGCAGCCAATCATGTTGGCATCATTCCTCTCTTATCCATGCGTCCAACAAGTGGAATTCTTTTCCCTTTTAAATCCCTAGTTCTAAAGAACATATAATTCAACGGAGCTTAGTGGACAGACTCAGAAATACAGAATGTAGAAAAATGCTATCAAAACAGCAACCTTCATCATCAAAGATGGTGCAAAAGAAACGTACCCATTAGGATTTCGAATCAGAAACCCTCCAGGTTGGGAGCCATGCCTGCAGAAACAGTAATGCCTGGTAACACCTCGCTCAGGTCGCCCCAGGACAGTTCACTCATCCACCCACTTCCTTCTCTCCCCAAACCACCCAGGGGGAACAGTGGAAAGAGGTTCTGCTTAGAATCAGAACTGGGAAGTCTGAGCTGTCACTAGTGTGCTGAGACTGTCCAAGCCTCCATGTCGTCATGTATGACATGGGGCTGTTAGGCCCAAGCATTGGGGCGATCCGATGTATTCGTGGGCCCAGAAGCCAGCCCTGAACCAGGTGAGCTGGTTGGCAGTGGGCACAGGGCCGGCTCGGCTGCTTCTGGGGACCTGAAGGGTGGTCCTGGGACAAGTGGCATCAGCATCACTTGGGAACTTGTCAGAAATGCAGGCCTCACCCCCTCGGTCCTGACCTGCTGACAAGCCTCGGAATGCAAGCCCTCCTGGGGATTCTGACGTGGGGCAGGTTTGAGCCACTGCACTACCTGTGTGATGGCGCCACCTCGTGGAGAACAGGCCTCACGGCCCCTTCCAGTGC